GAGGACGAGGACGAGGAGGAGGAGGAGGAGAAGGAGGAGGAGAAGGAGAAGAAGAAGGAGGAGGAGGAGAAGAAGGAGGAGGAGGAGGAGAAGAAGGAGGAGGAGGAGGAGAAGGAGAAGGAGTAGGAGGAGGTGGACGAGGAGGACGAGGACGACGATGCCAACAACAACAAAAACAACAACAATGACAACAACAGCAGCACAGCAACAGCAACACAGCAACAACAACAATGTTAACAACAACAATGAGTTATGTCGACAGCTTTCTATCCCACAAAACGTAATCTTGCGAAGGAAAAGAAGATGTAAAAATATCTTATCTCCTAAGCCCTACGTGAGAGAGGCTTCGATAAGAAATCTTGTCTTATGACATGGTATCTTTTCTGTTAACTGATAACCTCTTATTCGATAACATCTTGTCTAATGTAATGACCTCTTATTATGGCACTTAATAAAGTGACATTTGATCTCATCTCCTCACCCCTATGTGAAAGTGGCACGAGTATTTCGACGATATTATAGTGGCAACCTCTTATTTGATGACATTTTATCTCATGTGCGACCTCTTATTTGATTACATTTTATCTCATGTGCGACCTCTTATTTGATTACATTTTATCTCATGTGCGACCTCTTATTTGACGATATTACGACACTTAACTCTTTAAGTATGTAGCAAGAACATTTGACCAGCAGCATACCTAAAAGTCAGAAACCTGAATTTGCATATTTTTAAGGATGCATAATATTATTTCCTGCCGCTTTAAGCTGCTAATAAAGAAAACAGAAATGAAAAATCTGTTCGAATGACGAAGTTGTGCTTCTTTTTCAAAGTAAACAAAAATTATTTTTTTTAAAATAGCGCGTCTTCAACCTGACTTCAAGCACTGTCGCAGAGTGCGCGTCCTCAAAGAGTTGACCAAGTGACATTCTATTTTTATCTTCTCTCCTCACCCCTATGTGAGAGAGGCACGAGTATTTCGACTTCCTCCTTGTCCAGACACTTGAGGTAGGTGACCTCTTGCAGTAGCCACTCTGTCGTCTTCTTGCGTAGCATGCCCGTCACAGCCTGTGTCTTCCATTTCGCCGTGAACAACCCTGAAGATTTAATTGGAGATATTCAGTTATACATTACATCCTTCCTATTTCAACACATTTTTCGGTTGTTTTTTTTTTTTTGGTATGATATATGTAAGTAGCGTTCCGTGTCACAGCGAACATCCGTGAAAGGTTGAGGAGGGGAGGGCGGAGATTATTTCACATCCTATTTTAAAAATAAATAAATATACATCTATATGTATATATACATCTATATGTATA